CGATGAGCTTTGTAAAAATCGACGCGTTTCAGAAAGGCGGGGCATAGAGGAGAAACAACAATGTACAGTATGTGGAAAATAATGTGTTTTTTTAACCTTAAACCGCATAAACACATTTCATTACACCAAATACACAAAATAATGTTCTTTTTAGTAACATCATATGACCCCTTTAATATTCTAATCAACTCAGGGGTAGGATCTTTAATACTTTTCTTGCAGAGGGAATCAAAGCAGAAAACAGTGTCAATTTTTGGTTATACCTAAAGGCCAAAACCAAACCAAAAAACAAAAACACACAAAAGTGAAGTGAATAAACTGCACTGACATGTAACAATTTTTATAAGTAAATTTTTTTTATTATTATCTACCCTAGTCTAAAAAGTCAGGAAACTCCACTGTAACAAACATAGCTTATACAGGTATATCCAAGTACAGCACACAAACACACATACACTTTACCTTCACCAAGAAGAAAGACACTCCATATGTTCTGAGGGATCTCGCAAGCTTCACATACTTCACTTTGGCTTCAATCTCTGTCATTTCACCACAAGCCTTATGTTCCTGTAAAATTCATAAAGCGTTAACTCATCTTACCAATTAATTTATCTCATACATCTTTGCTTACAAATAGTGAAGTTTAATAAACAGACAACCGTGTATAAAATGAAAATGCATTTATTAACAAAGTGCAGGATAAACTGACCCACCTGAAAGATCTTCTTCTCTGCACCTCTCTGTTTGATGTATTCCTTAGGCAGAAATTCCTTCAAGCTGAACGAAATGACATGCACAAAGCATGCAGATTAGTGACAATACACTGAAATGCAAACAGGCATTAGAGTTATATGATACACAAAGTATTCAAATGCATCTATGCACTTTTCATTTGAGTTTGTTAAGCCCATTAACTAAATGGACCATATACTCATTACAACATGTGGATTTTACACATCATTTCTCAGCAATATGAAGCAGAGAGGCAGTAAACACCGTGTACTATAACTGAAAGTATTAGGATGTGGTCTTACTCCAGAAATCCAGATTTGTGTTTATGTTCTATATGAGGCCCGAACTGGATCTGTGCTTGAATTCCACCAAATTCACAAGCCTTGTCAAACGACACGGGATGAGAACCATTCAGAATGTCGTCACGCGCCTGGGGAGACAAATGCAGGTAGACACATCCATTATCAAAGCCTTTGGAAATCACACAGCAGAACTGATCCAGATCAGCAAGTAAGGCCCTTACAGAAGGAGGTAACAGGGACTACACTACTTTGCAGATCAATACGATGTGTATAACAGCATGCAGTGCACCACTCAAAGAGGCTTTTAGAGCCATATGTCAATAAGAGATTTATAGCATTTCAATCTATATACATTATATTGAACCGGCAAGTAAAAAACCATGGAAACAGATCATTTAGGGTAATATCACTGTAGGAGGGATGTGAAGCCAAGCCAGGGGTGCTGAGTGCTCATTGTGGCATTCACCAAAATGTAATAAGTGACAAGAGGTGAGCCAAACCTGTACGTAGAGCAGATTGAGCTGCACAGGATCTCGTGAGTCCACATTCTGATCGGAGTAGAAAAACTTTCGTCTCAACAGCAGAGTTTCGCTTTCCTCGACTCCCTGTTCTCTAAATGTACGTCCATGATCCAACCAATTTACTGTGAGAGAAATAGAAACTCTTTATATGGTAAAACTGTGTTTACCATCTTCTTTACAAAATATATAGTACCCTTGAAATGTTTGGGGTCAGTCAGCTGTTTTTAGTGATTTTGAAAGAAGACTTTTATGCTCACCAAGGCTGCATTTATTTAATCAAAAAACAGTAAAACAGTAATAATGTGAATTATTATTATTACAATTTAAGTTTAAAGGTAAATGTATATTTTAAAATGTTATTTATTGCTGTGATGGCAAAGCTGAATTTTAAGCATTCATTAACTCCAGTCTTCAGTGTCACATGATCCTTCAGAAATCACTCTAATGCTGATTTAGTGCTCAAGTAACATTTTATTACTAATGTTTTGTAGAAACCAGGATACATTTTTTCATGATCCTAAAGAACAGAAAGTTTAAAAGATCAATAGAATTTTTTTTTACATTTTAAATGTCTTCATTGTCACTCCTTGCTAGATAGAAGTTAATTTCTATCAATAAATAAATAAATAAATAACCTGCTGACACCAAACTTTTGAATGTTAGTGTATGTGCACGCATACAGAAGGAGTCGGAGATATAACAAAATTAACCTACACAAAATAATAAAATAATAAAGTACTTAGACACAAAAATAATAAGAAAATAATAAATAATACAGTAAGGGGGACGGGAAGCAAAGATAAATCCTGAAACAATTCTAAACCTCAACTTTATTGACTTATTGTGACCCATTTAGCAGTTCCACAGCTGAAGAACAATTCAGTGTCAATCTGCATGCGGTGGCTGATGTGTTGCCTACATTCATCATCTGTGTGCAGTTTGGCTTTGAGCTTCTCCATCTTCCTCTCCTCCCTCAGTAGAGTTCTGTCTTTCTTCAGTGTGCCAGTCCCTTCATCTTTCTTCTCCTCCACCACCTCCTGAATGAGAGAGTACTCTTCATAGTTTGTGATTCCTGGAAAGAGAAGTAATGAGAATTTCTGATTATTTGATGAATAGAAAGTTCAGAAGAACAGCATTTATTTGAAAAAAATTTGTTTTGGTATCATTATAAATGTCTTTACTGATCAGTTTAACGCATCCTTACTGAATAAAAAAAGTATTATTTCTTTTGAAGAAAAAAAGCCCCAAAATGTTTGAACGGTAGTGTATATGGAGAAAAATGTATTTATCTCAAAAGCAATGGCAGAAACCATGGGTGTGTTGCATAAACTGCTTAGACTAGTCTTAAAAATTTAGTCATCCAATGTTTTCTTCAAGACTGGTCATAACTTTTTTAAGTCAGTTACAAAAAGCTAGATTGGTCTAATGTGAATCCAAAAAGTAAGACTGATTACCCCTTGGCTAACTGCTAGTTGGTCAAACTAGTTTGTAAGACACAGTGTTAACATAGTGTCTATGTTTATGCAACTGTCCCCATGTCTATATTTGGTCAGTCCAATGGAAATGCACCTACAGGTATGCGCAAACCATTGGGATTTGAATCCAGGTCACCTTGCACTTCAAATAAAAACTATACCACTAGACTAACAGTTTACAGGGTTTTTTCTTTTTCTTTTTAAATGTGTCAATGGCAACCAAGTGAGTCAGGACTGCCACGGATACCCCTCAAAAGAACCTGAGAAAGTAACTGTATATGACAAAGTTATATCAGATATTAAAAGAGCATCACTGACCTATTCTACTGCAGATGGTGACAAGCAGCTCTCCCACAGTTTTGGAATCATCCACCATGATGGTCTTCACTGCTCCATCCAGCATTTTTATCTTCTGAGGTCTCTGTTTTTTCTTATACTCCAGTATGTCCTGAGAGAGAGAGAGACAGAGGGACTTGACCAGCATTTCCTGACTGCACCAAACGAATAGTGTTAAGTTTAAGGAAAGCTTAGGTTTTAGGCTTTGGTTCTGAATGAAATTCTGCATCATAGCCATTTTGACATTGTCTTGGATTTGAACATGTCTTCTTTTCAGCCAGCTGCAGAAATAAAATCTAATCTGTGCAGTACAAAGGCAAAAAATGACTATAAATGGTTGAGTGTGCATGGAAGACTTAGTTTTTAAAGTAAAAAGCTTACAAAAATAAATATAGACCACACACCTAAGGCTGAAATTACCTACAAAACAAAGATTAAATGGAATCCGTATGTGAAGCAGTTTGTGCAGTTTTTTTATGCAAAATAAGACAGAGATGAACATCTGTGTACGTGTATGAGGGTGAAGAAGAGGTCTTTTGATCAACAAAAGATGAAACACTACTGATGAAATTTTCATTTAACACATCTCAATTTACCCTGCACACACAAATCTTTATTTCTTCCTGGGAACAAGCATTCGGCTTTGTCTTTATATACAACACTCCTCTGCACAAGCACAGAGACTCACAAGTGTAAACAAATATAAACAAAAACCACATGCTGCAGTGACAAATGTCTTTAATCACAGCACTGTAGCTTGTCTCAGTAAGTGTAGACACTAAGGGGAGCCTTTCCTCTCTCTCTCTCACATACTCAGACTATAAAAATAACCAAGAGCAGAGTTAAGACCTCTTCTCATCTTTCAGCATAAAAAACGTGGGCAAAGACACATCACAAAACAAGACAAGAGTGCAAAGACATGTCACGGAACATTTGACAGGAGCTTGTAAAATAGAGAGAGACCGAAGATCAAAGGCTTTACCCCATTTCTCAGCATGTAATAGTCCAGCGTCCGGCCTCCTTCCAGCCAGATGCCTTTCCTGGGGTCTTCATCTGATAGAAACAGCCCATATTCTGAAGCTGAGAAACAACAGACACTGTATTAGAACTTGAATTTAGCAAAATTATACAGCTTTAGCAACCAGATTTGCAATCACTGTAAACATTACTATACTACAAAGAACACAGAAAGTAAGGTGTCCCACCTTGCCCTGTCTGGGCTTCTGGAACCCTCTCTCTGATGACCCGGCATGCATCGTACACAGCCGTTGATGGCTCAAACTGCATCGTCTTCACCACATTACACTGTCTCACACAGATCTTCAGTGACAGCACCACCATCCTGCCAGCTTATTTATTACAGACTCTGCACCTGTGGAGAGAAGGAGGGAAATGACAATGAGAGAGATGGAGAACTGAAGACAGCAAGCGGGAGAATGTGTGCGCGTTTGAACGATACTGATTTTAGGATTAATCAACACTCTCATAAAATATGTAAATGCAAATATTGTTAACCATTTTCAGTGTTACTTAATGCAGATTCATTAAGATACTGCAGATACTGATTGTCAGCAAAGTGTTCCTTTACTAAATAATACAAAAATAAATAAATAAACATTACCGTTCAAAAGTTTGGCGTCAGTAAGATTTGAATGTTTTTGAAAGAAGTCTCTTATGCTCATCTAGGCTGCTTTTAGTTGATTTAAAAATACAGCAAAAACAGTAATATTGTGAAATATTTACATTTTCTAATAACAGTTTTCTATTTTAATATGGTTTTAAATGAAATGTATTCATGTGATGTCTTCAGTACCACATGGTCCTTCAGAAATCATTGGTGCTCAAGAAACCTTTCTTACACATTTCTCATAATATTTGCGAGGAATCTGTGAATTTTTTTTTTTGATGATTGAAAATTCAAAATTCAAAAGAAGAGCATTTATTTGAAAAAGAAATTATTTGTGCCAGAAACTATTTATTTATTAGAAGGTAATGCACCCTTGCTAAATAAGTATTAATTTCTTTAAAAAAACAAAAAGAACAAACCTTACTTTGGATGGTAGAGTACAATAAAAATTATTTGGGGGAAAAAAGTAGTGAATGAGAGATACAAATACTTACATTAATCATTAAATCAGGACAAACATTAACAATCACATTTTTGCACATTTTGCTTCAACTTTAGTTTTGGTCCTCTAATACACATATAGTATAATCGGTCTCTTTTATTAATTTTCCTGTTTGTCATTGTGCGTGTTATTAGAAAATATCTGGATTCTGTCCATTTCTTTCTCTCTCTCTCTCTCTCTCTCTCTCTCTCTCTCACTCACACACACACACACACACACACACACACAGTCTTTACTGTTAACACCTGAACTCCCAGTCAGCTGCCTTTACTCTTTCAGCACCATCCAAACTGCACATTAATGAAACACTGACTAGTTTAAACACACACCGAAGGAAAAAGACACAACATAATACTAGCCAGAGGATACAGTTTCACTTCATGGTTCAAACAGTCCTTGCTGGAACAGAAAGATAATTATAACACCGTTTAACCCCACTTCAAAATCAGCATGACATCCATAAACAATAAAGAACCAGAATTATTACCTTAAAGTCAGAGTTTCTCTTAGCATCTAGCTAATCTTTAGTCTGTATGTGTGTCTGTGGGGATTGAGGATGTCCTTGTGCACAGTTGGCACAATAAACACGGGCATGAGTTTGGCAGTGTGATCTGACCCAGTATGTCAGGGACAAGCTGTAGAGCTTTGAGCCATCAAAGACAGACATATATAGATCAGGAAGAGCATTGTTGGAGATGCAATAGTCGTGACAAAATGTCTGATATGCATATATTAAGTAAAGAAAGACTTGCTTTGTTTCAAGATATCACTGAAGTAATAACTTGGAGTTCACTGAATCAAATGATTCGGTTCACTAAGTGAAGGATTCATCAGACTGCTTCAAACTCACAAATGCTAAAGTCTGTGACTATTTTAGAAAGATTCATTGAAACAAAAGGTTCACTAGAATCATTTTCTTATGAATCAAGACTACTTTGGTCACACTGTTTGTGTGCAGCCCTAGGAGACAATTAAACAGAAAGATGTGTGTTGCCATTATTTTTCAGTAAACAACCTTTTTATCGAACCACATTAAATTCAGACTGCTACCTCATATTCAAAACTCACGTAAAATATGATTTTTTTTCACTATGCAGAAAAGGATTGAAGAAAAACATATGCATAACAGAAATTATTCTTAAAACTTTATACCAAAACAATTTTTATTGCTGTTACCCACCAGTTTTGGGGCAGACTATTCGTATGTGCAAAATACGGAAGATGTGGTGGTGAGGTGGAGGAGCAGTTTTCAGAAAAGCAGTTTGGAAACAAATTTCATTAATGCAATTCCATCTGGTGTTGCAGAAATTACACACTTTACCTTTAAATACAACACCTCAATTCGATAACACCCAATATATACCAGCCCTTGTTGCTGAGTGCCCTGGAACAACACAAAGTTCTTAAAGTTCCTGTCTGATCAGCCACAACTTGTCCAGTAAATTTTTCACAAACAATTTATTTGCTTTTGCACAGCACAGATTTCTGCATTCAATGTTTCCAGCATATAGATCCACACACGCTATCTCAACCAGCCCACCGGTGACTCTAGAGAGCCTGAAAATCATAACACTCCAGAGAATGTCCTTCCATTTATAGACCTTCAACAGGATCACATGCTGCATTCAGGTTAGCAGACCGACTGAAGTCTGATTACTCACTCAAGTTCTTACAGTAATGAAACGCATTCAGCCAGTCAATTAACACAACCTTATATTTCCACAGCCTCATATCAGTGAGACTCAGCAGCTATATTCTCTCAGTCATACACTCATGTAGACGTGACTCTTGTCTGTCACTAGTGTTACTATAGAAACTGTGGGCTATTGAAATATGATTACACTGCTAAACTCCACCCTCCACAAAGTTTCAAGTTGACCATCTGAACTCTTCAAATAGTCAAAATAAAATATTTAATTTAGCTTAGCTAAACCTGTAAATTATGAATGATCTTATTAGTACCTCTTCACTACATTTTAGTATTTATTGTTTTTTTGAATTAACTTTTATTTTATATTTTCACATTTAGTCATTTTGCTACTTTTTTTTTTATCAGTTTGCTTCTAAATATTTCTATACAGCATTCATTTTTATTTAAGTTTTAGTAATTTTAGTACTTCAACAAACATATTTGGATTTGTTATTTTAACCTATTAATTTTTTAATTTGCAAGTTTTAGTTTTAGTTAACATTTACACTGCTTCACAACAAAACAAGCTTTATTTTCTTAGCATCAAATGCTTTGACCAATCAAACTTACATCAAATTACATTAAATTATAAAATGACAGACATATACATATACAAAGTTGAAGGAGGTACAGGGGGTTTGGTCTTACCGTAAATTTGAGACGTATGCAACTCTGAAGCACTGCAGATCTTCACAGCTTTGGAGACTGTAAGAAACAGTGATGATCGGACAAGCAAATAAGGGAGCAAGGAAACTTTCAAAATGCTAATAAAAAAAAAACAATTCAAGTGAAACTACAGTAATGGATATTGAATTGAACCCGAAAGGGTTTATCCACATAATAGCTTTTAAGTTCTTTTTCCATCACAACTGCCAAAGGAGAAGTCTACACATTATCAATTTAGCAATGAATGACAGATTATTCACCCAAAAATGCAATCCCATTAACCATGTTAGGTGGTAGATATCACAGATGGGCAAGTTTGAGAAAAAAAAAACAGCTAATTTAAGATGTAAATCCTACCAGTGATGTGTGTGTGTGCGTGTGTGTGTGTGTTAGAGCCTCATGAGGAATGAGTTAAAGCCGCAGTAATTAACCCTGGTCTATCTACTAACGATCTCACGACTGTGGAGCTGACTCAAGGCCAGAGGCCTATAAACACTCTTAAAAGTCAAGCGTTTACAATAAACTTCCAAATTAGCCTATTAAATAAAAGGTGAAATTAAAGGTGAAGGCAAATCAAGTTAGAGCTTACAACAGCACTTTAACACATACACACTACAGCATCTTACAAAAATAGCAGCTGAAGGAAGAAATATTGAGAATCAGATGATAAGAACCAAGCTCTTCTACTGTAAATCTGAAAACAACAGCATATGAAAGAACGTCATGACTTTTTTTCCCCTGAACACTGTCTACAAGTCATCAACCACTATACACACACTTCACCATGAGACTGGTGTGACTATCCCAGACAGCAGATGAGGGTCATAGAGCTACTGCTGTATTGAGTTGCGTTGTGTGTGTGGTAAGTGACCTCAGTGAGTGGTAGGAACATCTGCGCAGCAGCTGCTGCCTTTCAACCACTACAGAGGTCAACAAGAGTCCAGCACAGACCATTTACTCTGCACTGATTAATCACTCACAAACGTGATGCAAACAACAACAGTGTTACCTTTTCATCACGTTCAAATATGCCTACTGTGCTTCCCTACTATACAGCAAGCAAAAAAAAACAGCACACCAAAGGAGTAGTATGTCAGAATACACAGTATTCGAAAAACAGTAGCTGAAAAGTACCTGGATGACCTACTACTACCACAGAGATTCTGAAATGGACAGCTGATGGACACTTTACTGTCCTATTAGGTCACAAGAGCGGAGTCATGAATGGCAGGGAAACAAAGCAAATGTATGTTACATGACAATGCAGATTTAATGAGTTCAGATTGCATTTATTCCACATACTACATAGAAAATCATTTTTAAACTCTTTCAAAGTAAGTTCTTCATCAAATTTAGCACCTACTCTGCCAGACAACTTTAAACGTATACAGAAAATGAGCTCTTCATCATTTACGCCAAGCTTCTGAATTAAAATTAAAATCACAAAAGGAAGATAATAAATCACCATCATACTCATAGCACCATAATAAAACACAGAAAAAGTAGTACAGTGGCCATTTTAATTAAATCACAATTACAAATATTCAGACATCCTTTTTCTGCCAAGAGCACTCTGGAAAATAAGTTATAAGTTGAAGGAGAGATGGATAGAGGAAAAAAATTAGTCACTGTTAAAGTATGATGTTCGGAAAGGCCTGTGTGATGAACAGCAGACATGGCCGTCACTAGGGCTGCACGATTCTTGCTAAAATGTGAATCACTATTTTTCTCCATGGGAATTGTGAGCACTATTCTCTCACACGATTCTCATTTTTTTTCATCCAAAACATTTAATGCACTCAAGTAAACAAACAAAAAAAAAAAAAGTAAAAAATGCTGCCTACACAGGACTTTCAGTTATAATAAAGCGCTGGATATTTTAGACACCTTAAAGTGAATACCTTAAAAGCTGTAAGCTGTTACACATAAATAATAGAATGTTAACAATAATAAATAAACATAACTAATACAAAAAATAACATTATGATCGGCCGATATCGATCCCGATCATTTACCTTTTATACAAGTGATATGTAAGCTCTCTGTTGACTGGCACTGTTAACATTTTTTTACACTTTAAAAAAATACCACAGATCGTTGTATTATTTACAGTAATGCTGTTGTTTTAATGTAGAAATAAGCAAAACAAATATTCATTTTACAATGAACATTTTAATAGGCCTTTACAAATTGAGCTTTTATTAAACACTATCTATATGAGGATCCTTTGGCTTATTAAAAAGCATACAATACTTGATGTTAAACTGAACAAAATTGTAACCCATTATGTGAAGGCTGTCAGTCAGTGCAGTTACATTGTTACGCCATAGGTGGCAGCAAGGGACTGTCTTTATAAATTAGTCATCATTAGGGTTGCAAAGGGGTGGAGAATTTCCGGTAAATTTCCGGAAACTTTCCAAAAATCCCTGATATATTCCAAAAAATCCTGGAAAGTTTCCAAAATTTCTGGAATATTTCCGAAATTTACTGGAAATGTTCCACCTTTTTGCAACCCTAGTCATCATTAAGGGTGCTTTCACACTTTGTTCGATTGCCTGGTCCGAACCCGAGTTCGATTGCTCCCCCTCCCCCCGCTGGACTGCGTTCATATTATTTTTATTTGGGTCCAAACCGTGGGCATCAAGCCAGCAGATGTTTACCCCGTTGCTTAGTAACGGCGCAGGAGAAGGCGGCAAAATGTAGCACTACTCTCTTCACTTTTATATTTATGTTTTTGAACTGTTGGTTTTTGTTTCCAAAGCTTCAGTACATAACGGCACTTACGTCTGTCTTACGAATATACTGCAAATGCTCTAAAGAATGCTGATATATATTTTGATTTTTTTTTCACTAATATATGACTTGATCTGAAGAAGAACAGACACAGGTAATCGCCACGCTCAGTTCCCCAACACGTGAATGCAGCGTGATCTGAATGCAGGGAAATACATGCAAGTGAATCGCCGTCATTTAGAAATGAGATCGCATTTATGTATGAATCAAGATCATGATTTTTTTTTCAATTAATCGTGCAGCCCTAGCCGTCACTGGCTTGACTTGCATGTAGGCGGTGAAGTTCACATGACCATGCTGGCAACACATCAGTGAGTCAGACGGCTTCCCAATGACTCACCATTACTGAAAGACAGAATGAACAACCCCCTGTACATGCAGCATGTTCAAGCAGGATGACACGTTCATTTAGAACAACATTCAGTCCATATTCAGCCTACATTAAAGCAAAGTCTATTTAAAGTATATAATGTATTGAACAATACAGAAATTGGTCATTAAAGAATCATGAGAAATCAAATTGTTCTTGATCTTTTGGGATAAGAGTTCAATGTACTCAAAAAACATACTGTAACTTTCAGAAATAAAAACTTCTATATGCGCAAGAACAAACCTCACTGGTTCTCTTTTAACATTTTTGATGTGATCTAGGTATGGGAGTAAAAGCCTAAATGAACACTGACTGTCATATAAAGCCATTATGTCTCTTCAGAAGACTTAGATTAAATGGCTTGATTGAAATGAAAATCTGTGTTGTCACAGACCATTAGCTGTTAGCAGTTAGGAAGCCTGGCTCTTGAAAGACAAGCATCATTCCTGCTTGATCAGCAAAACTCAATAAGCTTCCAGGCTAGATTAAAGGGTTAGTTCACCCAAAAATGAAAATTAGCCCATAAATTACTTACCCTCAAGTCATCCTAGGTGTATATGACTTTCTTCTTTCAGACGAATCCAGTCGGAGTTATATTAAAAATTGTCGTTGATCTTTCAAGCCGTTTCATGACACTCAGCAGGTGTTGCATGCTTCAGTCCAAAACGAGTTAAATAAAAAGCGCCCATCCATAAAAAAAAAAAGTGTCTCACACGCCGGGGGGTGAACAAAAGCCTCCTGTAG